ATTTAAGGAGTTTTCAGGTTGGATTAAGTAAGGAAAAAGTGTTTTGTGAGCTTAAGATTGGTGAATCTTGTTCAGTTCAGTTCTTAGAACAATTAAAAATTTCATCTAAATATGTTCAGAAGTCATAAAGATGATTGTATAACCTAAAATTATGTTATCGTCCTTTCTTACCTATAAACTTAATCATTAGTTTATAGGTTTCTCTGTCTACAGTAGAATCACATTTTAAATCACTAGGCATCAATTGGTGCGTTTGGCAGAAAAAAGCGCTTGTAAGCAAAATGGCGAAACTAAACAGTTTTCGGCCAGGACACGATTGCTAACTTTAGTAGCGCTGACACAATCCGCCATTTTGCTTATTTAATTTGTTAGTTTTGAAGTAGAGTTTATAAGTTGTTAATTACACCCATATACTTAAAGGAAACACGAAATTAAGTAAATTTCGTGTTAAAAACTCCCGGGCAGTAAATACAAGTCGCAATTATTACAACATAAGAAATGACGCCATTTAGAAAGATACTGTTGAGGGGTTATCGAAATTGCAGAGGCCCCAGAAATGCCTTGAACTGGCACAGAATTCGGAGAAATAGCATTGAATTTCGTCCGTATATACAGTATAGATATGCTCTGCGCTGCCTCCAATTATAGATACACGGAACTCAAGTAGAGGTCGATGCAGTATTCGACAGTGACAGTTACATTGTTTTGACTATCCGAGATGATAGATCCATCCACGTCCCTAAGAGGGAGTGTCTTATTAATAACAGATCCGAAGACCCATTTGACACCTTCATAGACGCCATTTATGTAACCATTGCCCGCGCACGCCTGCATAAAGCTACCGAGATCCGTACAGTATGGGTTGGCAAAGTATATTGCACTCGTTGGAGAGCATCTATAGCTGTTCGAAGTGCTTTGTCGGTCTCCGAAAAGGGATTCATGCGATAGCATTGAGCTTTGAGTCCAATAAAGAAAGTCAATGTTTGACATTATCTGCGAACCGTTCCTGAGATTTGGTTTACAGACGTCTCAAAATCACAGCGGTGCTGTTAACTGGAAAAAGAAATTACAGAATTTTTTTTCTACACTCAATGTCATATATATAATAATGATAGAAGTTGTGTCGTCGTAAGTGTATTAGCATCCAATGCATCAAGCTCGGCATTTGCGTCTTATTCATCAAGCTCGGCATTTGAATCAATCCTGTTGATATCTACCATTAGCCTAATCGCGGGTATTTCCAAGAACTTTACGAGTCATCTTGCCTTTTTAAGTAAGCGTCGGTTACACATAGAAGGTATGTATTTTTTATTTTAAAGACATAAAAATTCAGATGCGTTGTTACCCCTGAGGATTAAGATGGAATGCCTTTTTCCCAGTAAAAGAGTCTCCGGTTCTAATTTCTATCCTTAAGTCTTCTGAACTAAAGTTTGGTAGTAAAACAAATATGCCTTCGGCCATCATTGGAGAAATTTTAGCCGAATATACCTAAATAAATGTTCAACAAACAGTAAGTTATTTGTCTAAATCTTACACTTTGTATAATATTTTTATTTTCTATCTATTATATTTTGTTTAAATTTATATAACTGCTTGGGAGGTGTGTAACTTACTTCTAAACTTTGATGTTGATCATTTCATTTCATCTATGTAAATTTTAAACAAAAAATACTGCAATGGCTAGAAATCCATCAATATATAAGAAAATAGAAAAACGTTCAGGCTACATTATTGACAACTACTTCAAATAACTTACTCAATAAAATATAATTTTATTTCTTTAAACCTCTAAGAGGCCATAATGGCCCATTGCATTTTGCTATTTAATTACTACTATTTTGCATTTTAATTACTATTGTGTATTGTGACACATCAAAATGTGAAAATCAGCTTTATCCCTGATTTATACATGAATATCAAATTCTTCAGGCAGAAAATAATACTATTTCAATCGCAATTACGTAAAAATGTAAAGAACTTAAAGAAACTTAAAGAACGAGACCACCGCACACTGGTAGGTAAATATATCTATATATATAATATTAAATACGAGTCCAATCTGTACTTCCACTGTTGTCCAAGCGTATTACGTCATTCTTATTTACTGCTCGCATGCGCGCAACGCATGACGGTTACGCGAACTCATTTTTACACGTCTAAAACTCGCACAACGCACTTAAATAAATTGTGACTTCAAAAAGAATATACCAAAAATAGTATACACTAGAGCAGGGGTCTCCAAACTACGACCCGCGGGTCAAATACGGCCCGCCACGCCAGTGTCATCAATCTGGCCCGCGACCGCCAATGTCTTATTTATATATGGGTAAACCACCCTAAAGTCGGCCACCAAGCTGTTTTTCTATTTTCTATTTTATATCTTGCTAACAAAGTTTAAATTAGCTTTTGATTAAAGCACTTTTTCGGATTATTGCATTATGAATTTTACTATTTTCATTAAAAAATAAGATAAAATCAACTCTATTAATATAATATTTAGATTTAATCAAGCAGCGACCCTTTTTCCCTAAGGTCGCCCACCTGTGACCTATTGTCGTCCGAAATTCTGCCTAAAGTCATACATTAAATCTTACAGATTTTAAAGGCTGGTTTAAAAATTCTTTATATAAAATATATAAATAAATAAAATCTTTAAAGATCTTTATTGATTTGATGTATAAAAACGGTAAAACGGTCGACACGGTAAAATCACAATTTTAATAATAGTCTGATGGATTAAATAAATTGAACATTTACAAGCACATTTTATGCATATTTACAATATGTTACTTTTATTATTTATTCCACTAACAAATCAACTAAATAAAACAGAACTTAAAAAGGACTGTAGATCAGAATTTAACATATATAAGCAGTTTCTTCAAAGAACTAATACAACATAATATGATATCAATTATAACCCACAAAAATCTTATAAAACAAATCTCAAATCAACTAATCAACCAAAAAACTGAAGTAATCTGAAACCTTTTTGGAACTGTATAGTTATAGCTTTATTATAATCAATCTCAAAACAACAATAACAATCAACAATCTTAGTCATCAAAACATTTAAATATTAATCAGTCTGATGGATTAAATAAATTGAACATATAAATGCACATTTTTTGCATATTTACAGGAGGTTATTTTTTATTATTTGTCCCACTAACAAAGCAACAAAATAAAACAGACCTTAAGAAATATAATCAGTTTCTTCAAAGATCTAATCACAGCATACTATGATATTAATACATAACCCACAACAATCTTATAAAACAAATCTCAAATCAACTAATCAATAAAGAAAATACTCTTAAAACTGTTTGGAACTCCGAATTATAACTTTACTATAATCAGTCTCAAGACAAAAATAACAATCAACAATCTTATTCATCAAAGAAAACTATCACATATTAGACAACCTACATTAATAAAAAATATATTTACTAATAAATCCATTCTAAAATATTAATCAAAGGAACTGAAAAATACTATAAAAACTTGCTTTCACATGCCTAATTATGAACTTTCCACTTATGATTAAACTAATACTTAAAAAATAACAAATTTGGAAACAAATAATCACAGAAAAGTTTTCTAACTTTGATAATAATTTTTAAATTATATGAATTAAACAATAATGGCAAACAAAAACTTCTTTGGCGACTTCGTCATATTAGAGATTTTTCTTTGTTGTACCACTTCGGACAATTGTCACAATGTTTCTAATTTTAGAGAATACTAATAAAACGGTAATCGTTTCTTTTTCGCTACCTTCTGTCGCTCTTTATGTCATATATATTTTTCCAGCCTTTTGGTCCAATTACTTTTCCTGTTTTAGGGCATATATTAAAACTGGTTTCATCGCCATTTAGTATTCTTTTCGGGTCTAACAATATGTCCTCTCTTCCAATTTTTTTTAGAAAACTTTCTAGGTCCCGTAACCACTTCCTAATAAACTCCTCTGTAATTAATGCCCGGGTCGAGTTTATAGTTTCTGGTGTACGTTCACTAACATTTGGGTGCCTTTTTAAAAATACTTTATACCACTTGTCTCCAGGTCTCGAATTTTTAAATGGGTTGGGTCTGCCATCCTCTTTTATAATTTTTTCAACCGTGTTTATGAGATCGCTTTTTTTCGAGGAAATCCGCACTTGGCTAATTGCATGAGCCATCATCATCATCATTATCATCATTACAGCCCTTCACAAGTCCACTGCTGAACATAGGCCTCCCCCAAGTAATGCCACAAAGCACGGTCCTGAGCCACCTGCATCCATCGACTTCCTGCATATCTTACCAGGTCGTCACTCCATCTAGTGGGGGGTCGCCCTACACTACGCCTACCGGTACGAGGCTGCCACTCGAGAATCTTTCTTCCCTATCGGTTATCGGTTCTTCGAGCTATATGGCCGGCCCATTGCCACTTCAGCTTACTAATCCGTTGGGCTATGTCGGTCACTCTGGTTTTACTGCGGATATCCTCATTTCTGAGTCTATCACGCAGAGAAACTCCGAGCATAGCCCTCTCCATAGCTCGCTGAGTGACCTTGAGCGTCCTCATACGGCCAGCAGTGAAGGACCACGTCTCAGATCCGTAAGTCATCACTGGCAACACGCACTGGTTGTACAATTTAGTTTTTAGAGATTAAGGTATACCTGACGAGAAGATATGTCGTAATTTCCCGAACGCTGCCCAGCCGAGTTGAATCCGTCGATTGACCTCTCGGTCGAAGTTGGACTTACCTAGTCGGACTATTTGTCCCAGGTAAACACACTCGTCAACAACTTCGAGCATAGTGCTCCCAACAACTACCGGCATAGGTGTGACATGGACATTAAACATGATCTTTGTTTTGTCCATGTTCATCTTAAGACCTATCCGTTGGGAGGCACTATTGAGGTCATTGAGCATAGTGCTTAAGTCCTCCAACGATTCTGCCATAAGGACTATATCGTCGGCAAATCGAAGGTGAGTGATGTACTCGCCATTGATGTTAATACCGTATCCTTTCCAGTCCAGTAGCTTGAAAACGTCTTCCAAAGCAGCGGTGAAGAGTTTCGGGGGATATAACGTCACCCTGTCTTACACCTCTCTGCAGTTGGATAGGTTTCGAGCTCTGGTTCTGTACTCGGATAGCCATCGTAGCCCTACTGTACAAACACTTCAGCACTTCGATATACCGACAGTCAACTTGGCACCGCTGAAGGGACTGCAGCACCGCCCAAATTTCGACGGAATCAAAGGCTTTCTCATAGTCCACATACGCCAGGCAAAGTGGCAAATTGTACTCTTCAGTCTTCTGTACAATCTGCCGCAGGGTATGTATGTGGTCTATGGTACTGAAGCCTTTTCGGAAACCGGCTTGTTCGGGAGGCTGGAAGTCGTCGAGTCTGCGTGCGAGACGATTCGTAATGACTCTCGAAAACAGCACGTAGACGCGGCTCAGAAGGGAAATCGGTCTGTAGTTCTTCAAGAGAGCGTTGTCGCCTTTCTTAAAGAACAAGACCACCGCACTTCTGCTCCACGCCTCTGGAGTAGTGCCACCATGGAGGACGGAATTGAAGAGCTTCTGAAGGACTGCAACCGGTGTTCCACCCGCTTTCAGAAGCTCCGCTGTAATTCCATCCTCGCCTGGGGCCCTGCCGTTTTTAAGGTGCTGGAGAGCCATTCTAATCTCGCTTAGACTGACGTCCGGGATATCATCGGAATAGTGTCGGATAAGACTTGCTCTTATCGTTACTCACACTTGCGTGTGGCTCCAACGATGATGTGTACAGATGCCCATAGAACCTCTCAATCTCACTCAACATCTCAGGTGTCCCGGAAACGATGCTGCCACATTCAGTCTTCAGCTTTGACAGTTGGCTCTTTCTGGCAGACAGATCTCTGGCAAAGACTTTGGAGCCCTGGTTCCGCTCGATCGCTTCTTTAATACGAGCAGTATTAAAGTTGCGTAAGTCTTGCCGCATGCATTTGAAGATCTGTCTGTTCAGTTGCCTGTATGCTGTCAAATCTGTTGACGATTGCAGCCTCATCTCCCGTCTAACAGCCATGAGATTAAGAGTGTGATCGGAGAGTTTTTGTGTTCTTCTGCGGTGGGTCTTGCAGAACATAGCTCCGACCGCATGGACAGTTTCCACGAGCTTGTCATTCATATCGTCCACTGCATTGCAATCTTCTAGGCACTGAAAGCGGTTGTGTAACTCGAGCTGAAAGTTTTCGGGATTCTGGATTAGAGCACGAGGGGGGACGGAGCGTTGACTTCATTAGACGAGACCTCTCCAACTTAACGTTTAGGTTCAGTGTGCCTCTAACCATTCGGTGATCGCTGCCAGTTTTCACCCTTGCGATCACTGAGACATCACTGAACAGTTGGCGTCTGGTCGTCATAATGAAGTCAATCTCATTTTTTGTCGAACCGTCGGGGCTCGACCAGGTCCACTTCCTGTGGGGCCGCTTCTGGAAGAAAGAGTTCATCATAAAGAGTCCCTCTTTCTCCATAAAGTCGGCCAGCTGCTGGCCCCTTCGGTTCCGTTGCCCTACTCCAAATTTCCCTAACTTCAGCTCACCGCTTTCTCTTGTGCCTAGTTTTGCGTTTAAGTCTCCCATTAACACCGTATAGTGAGTTTTGGAAGAATGTATGGCTCTAGAAATATCCTCATACATTTCCTCTACTTCCTCATCGGGATGTGCCGAGGTTGGTGCGTAAACCTGTATGACCTTCAGCGAATACCGTTTGGTGATTCTGAGTATCAGGTACGCGACCCTCGTCGACACACTCCCAATCTTTACAACGTTGTTGACGAGAGACTTGTGGACGATAAATCCGACAGATGGTCGCCCTCCCGGTGATAGAACAAGTTGCCGGATTCGAGAATCACCGTGTCCTCCCCCTCTCTTCGGACCTCGGATAATCCTATAATACTCCAGCGCAACTTGTCTATCTCTTCTTCCAGCTCCAGGATCTTCTCGTCAGTCCTCAGTGTGCGTGCGTTAAATGTTGCCAGGTTGAGTCGTCGTAGGTGGCAACCGAACCTCCACCGGAGATTCTTAGCACCCCCTGCCCCGCCGTTACCATGGTCGCCACCGTAGCCAGGAATAGCGGGGCCGCCGGGGACTGGGGGCCGTCTATTTGTGTAATTGTTCATGGGGGGTATATTGCCATAGTTGCTACGCTTGGCGAGCGGGTTGGCAACCGCAGTTTTTTTTTGTCGTACAGATGCTGTTATTAGGAAGATGCTGCTGCCCATCTCCTGCCTGTCTCCCTCTGTCGCCTTTTACGACACCCACGGGAAGATATGGGGTAGTGGATATTCTTAACTGCCACTACACGGCACATGCATGAGCCAATCCACCAAAACTTGTTCTTCTTTTTCATTCAGTACCGTATCTCTACCTACATGGAGGATTTCCTCGTAGATACGTCCATATATTCGGTCTTGCAATGTAGTTCGTGGGATATTATAAATTTTGGCAGCACTTCTGACGCTAGTACCGCTTTTGATGGCCTCTAGTGCGTTCTTTATTTTAGTACGATCATACTGCAAATTTTTTTACGTTTACCTTTATTTTCTACGTCGCTTTCAGACATTGTCGATCTGAAAATAAATAGGAACACTCTGTATAATCGGCCAGTGGGTGGCCGGGCTTAGGAATCGACCACTTCGACAGTCTGCCCTAACTTCGGCCACCTATGCCGTCTTTATATTTTAATTCCTAAACCCGTCCACCCTATTTTTTCACAAAGCAATGAATTATTTCGTGAAATAGCATTTCAATATCGTTCTTAGTACAATAAATAAATAAAATATGATTAGCTAACACACAAAATACACTTAAAACTGTTAAAAACACTTACCTCACAAAAGGCGGAATACGCGAGTTTCGATAACAATTTCTGCTAAAATCGAAAAGGAGCGCACGCTCTGGATATCCGGCCGCGAATGAGTGAGAAAGCAGTGACGTATCGTCGCTTCTTTAGTTTGATTATTTCGCTAATAAATAAGGGTCATTTTAGAATAAAAATAATACTTATTGGTATAGCGCAAAATAGTTTATGAAGGATTTTAGTGACGGTGGCCGGCCTTAGGCAATGGCCGGCTTTAGGACGGTCTACCCTATTTGGCCGTATTTCGTGTGATTTTATAGTGTAATGCAAGTGTTAAATATGTAGTAGGTATAATTGTTAAGTACTTATCGCTTAGACTTTAAAAGCTTTTTACTTAGATATTGCCTTCTAATTTGTTCTAACGTTATATTAAATTGGGCTTTACAAATAATGTTTTGTTTACGTATATTATAAATACTCAGAAAATATTTATAATAAAAATAAAGTCTTAATTATTATTACGTAAGTTGGGTAAAAATAAAAAATGTTTCGTATTTCATTCAGTTCACACATCTTTTTTAAGGTTTCTATTCCTCAAAATTCAGTATGTTTACACATTGCAGTTTCGTGTCTTCTTGTCTTGTTTACGTTACGATTGTACGTACGATTGTATGGTATTCATCACAACGCTTTGAACATGGTAAGTCTTGACCCGTTTTGGTAACCATTGATGCATACCAGAAAATGCTGGAAGGGCATCAGTTTTTTAATTTTTCTACTTTAATGAATATCTGTGGTTTGTTTTATTAATTTTAATCGAATTATTATAAAATGTAACTAATAGTACGGAAATAAACATTACCCGTACATTTTACGAACAAATTAACTTCCCGGCTATGAAATCTGTTAAATATTACGACGGCCGCCCTGGTGGTAGAAAAAGTCGTAGATGGTTGTCAAGCGTTTTAGACTTAAGAAATTAAATTGTAAAATTTAAATGTAATTGAATGTTCTAATTTTATATCTACATTGTACGTAAGTAGTACTCGCTTGCCCTCCTCATTTTGTCCAACGTGCCGGAGGCGAAAGACATATTCCGAGAGGTACACACTGTGTGCGGCCGCACACAGTGTGTACCTGTCGAGAGTCAAAGTCGAAGCCCCCTATAGGCGCGGTTTTCCGGCGCAGTGCCACCGCTGCCAACTCTACGGGCATGCGGCGGCCAACTGCTCAGCCCCTCCCAGGTGCGTTAAGTGCCTAGACCCGCACAGCTCGAAAGAGTGTCCTCGGCCCCGTGATACCGAGTACCCACCCGCTTGCGTCCTTTGCGGACAGACCGGCCATACGGCCAACTTCAGAGGCTGCCCTCGCGCGCCTCGCCCCAATATCGGCAACAAAGCTGCCAAAAAAGCTCCGCCACCGGTCAATGACCGTACATTCCCGGCTCTCCCATCCAAAAAGCCCCTTCAGAGCAACTCCCAGTCACCTCAGGACCTATATCAGCCCCCTCAGGGACCCTATAGGCCTCCTCACCTTCGCCCACTAGGGCCCCGACATCAGGCGGAACCCTCTTACGCCGATAACGTAGATACAGTATACACTGCTATCCGCAATATCGACGTAAGAGAGATCGCAATTTTAGCACGCAAACTGCGCGTTTCTCAGTCCCCTCAAGACCGACTGCTCGCGCTTACCGAGCACCAACACCTTCTAAACTCAATATAAGTAGTCATCCCATTCGTAAGCTGCCTTAATTAGGCAGCAACTCTTCCCAGCGGCTACTCGCCGCTAACGTCCCCCTTTCACACAAGGAGGGTCGCGTCCGTATACGGCTTAGAGATCTCTAGTTAGACCGTTAAGCCAGTCCCTAAAAGGTGGGGTTTAGTGGGTAAAAGTCTCCACATAACCACGCTCCGGCTGCGTGGTATGCTACGAGCATTCCCCACCTCCCTCCCCCGCTTTCCGGAGGGTTGCCCACATTTGCTTCGGGCGCAAAAAAAAAATACACGTAGCGCCGCCAGGCGGCAGGAATGCACAACGCTTATCGTGATAACAACATTACGCTTAATCTTAAGTAATTATGCAGAGTACATTTGAATTTTCTTATTGACTAAAATCTATTTTTATAATAGAAAACGAAATTATACAAGTAGTTAAATCACGTATTGGCGTAGTTTTTAAATTACAATACAGAATTAAACAAGTGATTAAATTCACACTTCGTTGTTAGCATTTCTAATGTAGTTTTTTAGATTATAAATAAGAATAAAGTTAAAATAAGTAATTAAATTCACTTTTCGTTACTAACACTAACATTTTTTACGTAGTTTCAGATCACAAATAAGAATAAAATGGAAATAAGTAATTAAATTCACTTTTCGTCGCTAACACACAGTGCTTAATTCTTCAAAAGATAAAATTCAATTTTCGATTACCCGGTATAGATGACTCTTTAGACTTTTAATATTAGTCTCCCAATTTTCCCCAAAATGACCTGCGGCGGGGATGTTTAGAGATCACTCGATGCGGTTTTCAGCTAAGATGTGAGCGAACTCCGTACTACAATATTTAGAGGTTAAAACTCGTGTAACTCTGATAAAATACGTGTTGCTTCTACATCGTTTGTACCATTATTTGAGTACACTCTACTTATGGGACTGCGGCAAGAAAGAAACCTTTTAAATGCACTCATGAAGCTAGCCGTGCTTAGATCACCGGCAAGTTCTATGTGTACAGCGCGAGTAGTCAAACATACGAAAATACAAACATACGCCTTCGATACAACACGTCCACGAGTAAGCGTAACCTTAAACGGGCCAACAAAGTCCGACCACCCACTCTAATAATCCCATTCTGTAAAAATGGTTTTAGGCGTTGAAAAGTGCGACTACAAACCTTGCCCGATTGCAACCTTGCAATTTCATCGGCAAAGTGCAAACGGTGAAGTTCACGAAACTTTAATATTGCTGCATAACTATAATAAAAGCCTTATAAATCAGCAAACGTAAATTACGCTACGCAATACAAAACTATACACAAACAGTTGATACTACAAACACGAATAAATATTGCACGATCACTTCCAAAGTTATTTTTTTTTTGCGCCCGAAGCAAATATGGGCAACCCTCCGGAAAGCTGGGGAGGGATACCATGAGCATACCACGCAGCCGGCTGCGTGGTTATGTGGAGACTTTTACCCACTAATCACTCCTTTTAGGGACTGGCTTAACGGTCTAACTAGAGATCTCTAAGCCGTATACGAACGCGACCCTCCTTGGCAGAAAGGAGGGCGGAAGCGGCGAAAAGCCGCTTGGAAGTGTGCCTAA